TGTGTGGCATGTTTGCAGTTTTTAATTACTGTACTTACTAAGCCAAATTCTAAACCTGCTGATGATATTTGATTATATTTTGCTTTTACTCAATGGAAACCATCATCAAGTGATGCTCTGAGCCTGTAATTCTTTATTTTGGCATGTGGATTAAAGTCATTATTTTATCTGAGCCTCAGCTGCTGAAAGAAACAGGGATCTGTAATGGCTGTTGATTCAACCAATTGTGAATAAAAATCTCTGTTATTTGGTGCCCCAGCAGCCCTTTGAAAAGATCCTTTGAGTTCATAAGAGGATAATGCTGCTACAACATCATTCTAAAGTTCACTTCTATAACACCAGAATCTACGGTAATTATAAACTGCACTGTTTCTTGGTTTGCAAATAGTTACAGCATTGAATTAGATGATATCAGTTTTATTGTAATGTAGATGAATGACTTTGAATTTTCAGACTTTCTGCCTATTCTGCTGTTCAGTGGAGCTCCTAAAGAGGAGTAATGCTATAGTATTGTGGAGGCCTAGATTTTTGGGTGATGTTTGGGCCTGAGATGGGGTCAATATACAGTAGCTGTTGGTGGCTGCAGTCTGGACCTTTTACACATGGAGTTTACACGTGGGGGAGGTTGTATGGTTCATGATCTGGGGGGTGTTTCTTCACAGAAATAAGGGCTCTGTCCCTCCAGAGGACACTGTCATTTCATGTTTTGTTGCCACCCCACGGTACTGTAGGTCTAATATAGGGAGCACTCCTAACTCCTTCACGGGTGGCATTCATCACCATTTATTTGAAATTTTTGTAGGTCACACTCTGTCTAAAGCCAGGTCTGCACTGCTAGACACAGCATCCTGGTACACATCCTGAAAGATGCTGTTTTATCACATTGGTGTCAGGAGTAGAAATTATGTGCCACAAGACAGCCAGGGTCCCTGTTTGGGGGCACAGAAGAAAACAGAGAAGGAAACACAGATCATACAGATAGAAAGTAAGGCTTCCATGTCACAGAAAGCAAGCCGGCTCCCAGAAGTCTGGGGAGAAGGTGTGGCTGTAGCTGCACTGAACAAGCACCAACTGCAGCCACCTGGCCTGGCAGAGACTTTTCCCCCTGTGACGGCCTCCAGGCTTTGCGTTTACACAGATGCTAAGGAGTACTTCTCCCTGCACAAGCATGAGCAGTGGAGCACCAGTGGGCTCTTGTCTATGACCAGCCCTGCCTTGGGAAGGCCCAACATTTACACCTCTGTGCAAAGTGGAAGGACAGAAGTGTGAATCCTACACCCCACAGTATGGATGCTCAACACTCACCCAGTACATTACACCATGCGAGATCCACCTCTGGAGGCTCAATTCAATTGCACCATGTGAAGAAGATCAGGTCAAGCTCACAATGAGTGATAGTGAATGAGTGGAGTTACAAAGATTTACACTGCAGGTGCTTGGACATATGTGGCTAGGTGAAATTCTCATTTCAGACTCTTTGCTAAACCATCACTCATCTGTTTGACAATGCAGTTACCAGCTCATTCTCTCACAGGTTTGTGAATAGAAAAACAGGGCTTCTGTGCTGCTGACATCCACCACCTGTTCACTCATCACTACATGAGTGGTCTAAAGAATACCTGAGCTTTTGCAGCTTCTGTGAGAGGACTCCACCCAGCTTATGTGGCCATATGGCTCTCACCCTGCCAGACAGGCTAGTATTTATCTGCATTGCATGGATAAAATCGAAGCAGTCTTAGCAGATGGGGAAAATAAATCCATGATTTAAAGGGTCAGGGAAGCTGAAGAAGTGCAGCTCATGGAGAGCAAATAAACTTGCACATTGAGCATGAGTCTTGGAGCCAGTGCTCTGAGCTGCCTGCTGCTGATGGATAAGATTAACACCTTCAGCACTGTGCACATCTGTGCAAGTGCTGTGTTTGGTTTCCATGTTCTTTATTTGCTCTCCTTCTAAACCAGACAGAAATTTACTGTAACTACAGTAAATAGCCTAAAATATTTACTAAAAATAACAAATTCAATTGATAGTTCCATAAGACTAACAAGTTGTGAATTCATTTTGTTGGAACAAGGCTGAAGGTGGCCATGGGAAATGCAGAAAGCACAATACTAGTGCTCTAATGCTGAGCACATAAGAGTAAAAGTATGACAAATGTAAACAAAAAGAAGAAAAGACTTTCTCCTAACCTTTCTTAGGTCAAGTGAAACAGATCCTGTAGCTGGAATCCTTGGGTAATCCAGTCATAGTAGAAAAAACAACCTTAAGATCACTCTGAAAAAATAGCTAGATCTAGCAGAGGAAATGGTAATCCGATACAGAACTGAAGTTCCTTCCAGGCCTGAGACTACTTGTTTTTGCTGTATGTTGCCTTTGTAAAATGAAGCTAGTCAATACAACAAGGACATACGTGTGTGTAGAGGAGGTAGAAACTTTCTTAGTTTAATTATTGATATTAATTGAATATTCTGTATTTACAGTATATTATTTTCTTAATCTCCCAATTATTGAATTCAGATTTTATTCTAGGAATGTAACCTTAGGGCAGCACAGTGGCACAGTAAGTAGGTTAAAGTGCTTAATGGCAACTTCGGTGACAGTAAAATGTTTAGAATGAAATACTAGAAAGTATTTTACACTCAGAAATAGACAATGGACCTGGGACAATCTCCGGTCAACACTATTACTGCTGTGTAACTGTTGTTACTTATTTTTTCTAAATCTTCTATCCCTTTATTTGTTATGCTTTGTTGATAATATGCATAATGATTAACAGCCAGGGTCAAAACTATTACAGATAATTACCAAGGATAGACATAAGACAAAAAGCATGGAGTCAGGACAGAAAAGTAATTCTAGGCTTCTTCTTTAAGGTCTTTTAAGTTTAACATATTGAACATTTAATGTAACTCTTTCTTTTCCATATGTAACAAGAACATTCACTTGTAGTAACACAGGTAAGGAAAATCACATAAGCAACATTGCTTGATTAAATGAACTGAAGTATCTGTCCACTCCAGGTGAAGAAGGGCTGAGTTGTGGATGCACTCATTGTGAGATTAAAAGGCAGAGCTTTAGCTACTTTGAGTCTAAAGCTTGTTCAGCTTGTTCAGCATTATATATCATGATACTGACAGCTCATATAGACCCTTGCAAGCGAGCTTTGTTTGTAATAAATTTCAGTCAAGCTTTACAGAAAGCTTTTTTAAAATCTGCTTTCAAAAACCCAAATGTTCAATACAACAAAAAACTTATAGAAAAGGAGACTATTGCACCCAAAGAATTACAAATTGACAACATTTGGGAGGTTCAAGTAGTTTACCGTAAGAGCAATAGCTTCCAACATATGTAGTAAAATTGCAGTATATCATTTACTGTAGATATTAATAAGGGATATTGCAATAGCCATAAATAACACAATTGATATTGTTTTGATAATGCTTTTAAAATATTATGTTATGGTTATGTCAATGCTGTCAATGACATTATTCTTAATCAATTGTGAAGTCTAATTTAAACTAACTTTTTAAAATATCCATCCATGTTCTAATTCTTTTATCCAGTAAAGGGTCACGGAGCTGCTGTAGCCTGTCCTAGCAAGCAATAGGTGCACGGCAGGAAACACCAGACCATCACAGGGCACAACATGTGGGTGGTTAGGTGCGGTAGAATGGGCAGCTTTTATAATTTGGGGGAATTGAGAAATAGGGTTTGTCTTTAAAGAGGAGAGTTTTTTACTGCTGAACCATAACAATGGAATTAAAACCCCTAGAGAAGACTGGCCAATATTTATTATCAGTTTATTGTATTTTACAAATACCCACATTTCTCATGTTGGCGTTTGTTTTATTCAATTAAAATATGGAAACACAGTAGTTCAATGAGTCATGTTTAGACGATTGCAAGTGGCTTACATAGTGGAATTCGGTATTCAACACTGACATAACTCCTCCACTGCTCCACTAGTGTGCTGGCCAGCAGTGGACCACCTACAGAAGCAATATGTAGGAAAAGCCTTCAGACATGTAAGTGCCTCCCACTGACCCCCCTCATCTCCCCTTCAAATTAGTTAAGCAAATAATGAACACATGTCCTGACCCCCACCTTCAATTTAAACGGACACAGATCAGCCTCTGGGCACATGGGCATTCTTCCAGACTTCAGTGAACTGGACACCAGGCCCTGGAGACATTAGGAAGAACAAACTGAACATCGTTGTCCGGTCCTGCAGGGCTCTGGCATGGGGGAGCTGATAAGGTAAATTTTAAAGTTTTAGATTTGAGGATTGTTTCTCTTCATCTGATATTATAGACTAAAAGATAACTTATTAAAACTACTTAACAATTACCAGTAACCAGTATAATTATATATTTTTATTTTCTGCATTATAAATCATGTAATAATTCTACTTATAAAGTAGATAATATTATCTGATATAAATTAGATAATACAGTATGTTTTTGCTGGACTTAATGTAGTTGACAACTCTCTTTTCAGGGAAAAACTTGTGTTCATCTTCCTTCTTGGTTGCTTGATTCAAAAATGCTTTGCCACCGTGCAACACTCCCAGAGTAAGTACAGTATAACCTCCATTTTAAACATCCTTTAGTTTTCATTTTTTACGTGGTACTTTGTCAGAATCTTATCACTGAATTTTGACGAATATAAGGAATTTGCGTTGTAAAGCCCCATAATGCAATTTAGCGTATAAATTATATTGTAACAATTCGGTCAAATCCTTTTCCTCTAGTCTAGGGCATACTTAAAATACTGTATTTGTACTACAAAATGGAGTCAATTGTTGAAAAAATCCATTCTAAACTTAATTTCATACATTTAATAATTTCAACCAGATAACTCAATTGGGAACAATCTCCGTTGTAATGCTGGCGTGGGGAGTGCGCGTTTGTGCAATCGCCTTTAGCGGAGCGGTTTTGGCGAATCAAGGTCACATCGTCCCACCCGGAACTGAAATCCTCGAACCTCTTGTGTGCCAGCCAGAGATCTTATCTCTACTCCAATACCTGAGCAACGCAGGAAAAAAAAGCAACTGTATTCAACTTGGCAAAGATACACGGCGAACATTTATTCTTTTAATTTTAACTTTTGCTTGTGTTCATCAGCTCGCCATTTCAAACATCTGTCCGGCTTTTAGGTCCACATAAAATACTAAAGCATTTTGCTTTTGCCTAATTTCATCTCAACTATGAGAACGTGTTGTACTTTAAGATCAATTTATTTCTGTTTGTAACAAAATCATCCCAACAACTGTAATTTATAGACAGCAACTCAGCTACCAATGTGACAGGTTGTATTTTCACGCGTGTACCAAGGCAGGTGTGATTTGTAACGAACCGAACACACTTTATGAGTTGGTTGGGAGCCGCAGACACCCTTCAGTGCCCAAGATTGCGGATGACGAAGAAATGAAACACGATGGAGGTCCAGGAATCTCAGAGAGAGAGAGAGAGAGAGAGAGAGAGAGAGAGAGAGAGAGAGAGAGAGAGAGAGTGAGTACTGTACATCTTTTCAAATAATCCGGCTTGTGGTGCATGACACGATAGTTGTTTCCCAATGAAAAGACGTGTGAATGATCACACACCACAGTGACTGAATGAAGAACATCATGCAATGCGTTTCCATGAGCCACACAGCTCCGGCCAACAACCAGCCCAACAGTAAAACACGTTCTGGCCTATTTACAACCTCAGGACATTTATTCTTAATTGAACCGCACAGTAGACTTATGTACGACCGGCTTCATTCTTTGGTTTTGCCATTTCAAATTGTCTACAAGGTGATGCTTTAAAAATGTGTATTAAACAATATTTTATGTCTTTTGCATAGCAAACAACTAAGGCAAAATAGAATACACCGCGTATAACGAATTTTGACACCAATACAGAAAAAAATTGCCGTGAAAAAAATGTTGATTTTTTTGAAGATGTATAACAATGTATAGAAAATAATGCATGTGTCTATCTTTTGATAAACGTGTCTTCACAGGATTTCCTCTTTCTGCGGGTGCAATTCAAAGCCAGCTAAGAACTTGTCCTCAGATAAAAGTCGGAGAGGACGATTTACCAGGTAGACGATTTCAGAAGAACACAATCCTCTGTATCACCCATTTCACGATGTATTGTCAGTGAAAATTCAGCAATGTATCGTTCTCTTTCTTATTTCCGTAGGTTTTGATGTTATTTCCCAGTTTCATTTAGGCACCGCAACGACTGGAGGAACAATCCAGCGGGTGGTCGGATCAACCCCTTCGCAGGTTGCGTACATAGTGGGACCCGAATATAGCTTCAGGTTACAAACAAGGTACCCCACTGCTAAAAACTGAATATGCTCGGTTTTAGAGCGCACATTTATGTCCATTTACAGCTTACTTACGCCATCTAGTGGCACTGTGCAGTAGCTTTTCGGTGTTCACTATCCGTGGTGCTGAAACTGTAAACGTTTAAATGCCGTACGACACTTGCATCGGTTCCTCGATTTTATTTGGTTTCGGACTGCGCAGTAAATGTTAATTTTAAATAGGGTGTGACTATCAGACTGTGCACTTTGTTTTAACACAGCGAAAAAAGAATATGACTTAAACCTCAACTATTCATTTCGGAATTAAAGTATATCTAAGTTTCTCTTATGCCTGTCGGGACTTTATTAACAGAATAACTGTACTCTTGAATGACAGGGCCGCCTACCCTTTTGGGCTGCCGGAAGAATTTTCTTTTCTTGCCACTTTCCGGATGAGTGGGAGCACCTTACATAAGAACTGGAATATTTGGCAGATCCAAGATGCCTTCGGAAACGAGCAACTTGCAGTAAGAATGAACGGGAAGACGCGCTCGGTGGAGTTCTCCTGCGCAAGAGCCGATCACAGCCTGCAGACCGCCGTTTTCTCTTTCATACCGTCCCTGTTCGACTCTCAGTGGCACAAGATCTTGCTAAGTGTGGAAACGGGATCAGTGACCCTTTTTGTTGACTGCGATTTGATTGACTCTCAAAAGATATCCCCGAGAGGCGGGGTGAACCTCGATGGCTTTTCTTCGATTGGAAAATTAAAGGATAACGCTGCGGTGGCAGTTCCGGTGAGTAGCGAGACCATTAAAGCAATTAATTTATTTTTTTAAACTTCTAACCAGAAATGCATATGACCCGTTTAGCTAGTGATATTAAATAGATTACTCTTTTTTAAAATAATTCCAACTGTGGACGTGTATAATACATGTGTTTAGTGTTCACTTTCTGTAGCCTCCAAATATTCTCGTAAAATACCTGAACATCCGCTTTTGAGACCTCTCGTGACTGCAGTTCCTCACTCTTCCTTTGAAAATGTTTCGGGCGCATCTAATTCATTTGAAAATCAGGAAAGATTACCAGAGTACAGCATTTCTCTTCCGTGAAGATGAATGATAATGTTGCTGTCTTAACTGGTAATAAGTGGTTTTATTCAAGAACAACTATTGGGCTGTAACTGGTGTCACTTCCAGTGTGTATCCGTGCTTGCGCCCTGCTACGTTGCAGTGGATTAAGTGATTAGAAAATATCCGTATAATATAATAATCAACTCTACTTGCAATATGTACACGAAATATCTTGGAAAGGTGTTACAGTTGTCTATTGGGCACTAGATGGTGCAATTGTACGATACATATTTCGTTTACCCCAACATGCTCCTTGCAACTGGAATGTGGTTTCAGTTATATTTGCATTTCTTTTTATGGTAAAATACAAGGAACAAAAGATATAAACCTAGACAGCATTATCTGTAGGTTGTACAACAACATCTACTGTCCTACTATTCAATACTTTGTGATGGAACCATTTCTTAAGAAATAAAAACAACAACAAAACACTAAGAGAATACATTGCAATTATTGTCTTCACCAGGAGTCTTCAACCCACGCTCTGGAGGGTTCCAGATTCAGGAGGTTTTATTGGTAACCACTAAATCTCCAAACTCTCAGGTCTTAGAACAGCTCCAATCCACTAAAAGTTCCATAAGTAAAACACTTTACAAGCTAAATTAGTAAATTACCTTACATTGCTCTAAATCTTTAGATAAGTGTGATTTTGTGTCATGTGTAAGACTAGAATGGGGCTCTTGAGGATCAGCATGGTACAGAATTAATTAATTTCTGCAACTCTTTTTAGGGGTAACTGAGTCACCAGTGCTGTTTTCAAAGGTCTGTAAGGAAGACATTTTTTTATAGAATTCATACACTCTTTGAAGAGTTTCAATTGGTCTTTTGAGATATAGGTATTTTCTTTGTATTGCATGGATTGTGGACTTAACTATGTGGTCTATATAGCAGTTCTCTTTATATTTGCTATCGTATTGCATACATTTACAATGTTTGAGTATAAAATCACTGGTTTCAACACTACAAAGACATATTTATGACATACATATATAATGATATACCTACACTGTATTAAATATTTAGGGCTACGTTGACTGTCTTTCATAATCTTTTAAAAAGGGGGTTGTGTCGGACATATAAGGGAGAAATTCAGGTGACAGAATTTTTGTTGCAAAGGCTAGAAATACCTTAACTCAAACCCTGACTGCAACTTTTTACAGAGAGGTGGGAAATATCACATAACAGCAGCAGCTCCTTAGAAATCCTTCTGCTTCACACATCACCACATCTTCGGAATTCCACCAGAACGTCTAACATGTTAGATAGTCGTTTAAGTTTTAAAAGATATATGAATAAAATACTGTACATTATTTCCTATACAAATTTCACATATTGACATATAATAAGTCATTACAGCCCTTTATAACACAAGTTTCCAACACAAAAGATATTTATGAAACGTAGTTATTAATGAAACAACTAGAAAATGACTGATAAATTACAAAGTAAGAGAAAGAAAATATTCTTCTTCTCTACAAACATGCTAACCTTGTAAGGTGCTGATAACAGGATGAGAAATAAATTAGAAAGTAAAAGTAGGTCTATTGAACAGTGAAATGCATTTTATTCTACAATCCAGTAGGGACCACATAAATGTTATAAGTTGTAGAAACACTAATGCGGAATGCCTTAAAAGCAGTTTTATTAAAATATTCTACGTTTTAGTTGAAAAGATTATTATAAGAAAAATAATCCGCAACAGTAATAATTACAGTTCGAATAACATTATTGGAACTATTATTATTATTATTGTATCATTCCTTACACTGTGGCTGTGTTGTCTGTATAAAGCTGCTGTTCCACTGCAACTTCCCTCACGGGATCAATAAAGTATCTATAAGAAATTAACTGATTGTAATATATCGTTGTGCAGTTTGAACTTCAGTGGATGCTGATTCACTGCGATCCACAACGGCCTCAGAGGGAGACGTGCGATGAGCTTCCAGCCAGAAGATCGGTAAGAAAACAGGTTAAATCAGTCAGAAATCAACCACACCTGATAGATGTTTAATACAAGGAGTATCATGATTTCCGCTTTGTTGTTTCGTTCCACGAAGGGTAAATTGTCATGTGAATACAATTAAGATTAGAAGAAGAATGCACATTTTGATGACTGTATGAGACAAACTACAGCGCCTCGCCTATCCCAGGTGTTCGTCGACGAAGCTTGAAAAGGGTTTAAATTTGCCCACCAATTAGACGTCGCCTGGGACGGTTTTTTACGCCCTCCGGTCACCGACTCTCCCTCCTGTTTCCCACGGCGCTGGGTTCCTCCAATCACTTCCTACAACCAGGCGTGTCATGAATAAACATGAATCTTTGATGGCTATAGTACCGCTTACCTTTCAGTTACTAGTGCGGGATTCAGTTGGGGCAGTTTGTCTAGGGGGTCCGTGAGCCAGCTAATCCCAGGAAAAGGGTTTTCTGCCTCTCGCCGGCCATTGGGGGGACCATGGCTAGCACCACAAGTACACGCTGGCCGCTTCTGGTCGTTTTTCTCCAAATTGTCTTCATCTGTTCGGCTCAAGTAAGTCTCATATTTTCTTTTCCTCCTTGCAGATTGCTCAGGCGGAGGTTGAGGTGAGTTATAATAATGCCAATACTAACTCGAGCGTGATTGCCTGTTTGTTTTTAAAGGTTAAAAGCAAATTCTGGAATATGCGAAAAAGATTATCTTTACAAAACGAACATCCTCAAGCCCGCTTTCCGTTACTTCTGTAAGGGGAAATGAATAGCACAGCCTTGCACACTATAATGTACATTAGGTTATGTCAGTTTAATAAAGTTTTATTATGACCAATTTATAGTTCAGAAACTTTAAAGAGGAAACAGAGTTGATCATCACAGTGGTGAACAGTTCTTTTACCAAATATTCTTACATGAGAAATAGAACTGAAATACACCTGAGGATCCCACCAAAATGACTGAAAACACAATTCTTTTTAAATTTGCTTTATTTCAATATGTTCTGGTCTGAATTCGGAGCCCAAGAACAACATTTAAGATCAAATGACGTTTTACAAAATAAGCACAAAAATGTAGACTTTATAATGAGGAAATTCCCTGACAGCACAACCTGCATCTCCGACTGGGACTCTCGTGTTACCGAAATCAAACAAAAAATATTATAACAGCGTTCATCTCTCACCTATGTATACCTGCTTATGTACACTATGTATCTATATGTACATATACGATATCCAAAAAGTTCATCATTAACTCAGAAATGCACTTCTGAAGAAGTATTCTATGATAATTAAAAAGTAACGTTTTCTGGATAAGACATGAAAATATTTTAAAACTTTTTTTCTTTTTCGTAAAATTCTTGTGACTTATTCCATTATCGTGGAATAGGATCCTCAGCAAAGTTTTATTAATTCAGAAAAAATGAATAAATAAAATTACATACCTCGGAACAAAACCATTGTCTTCCGCTATAACTATTGAACCAACACGGGTCTCCCACGGCCAGTTGGTGTCCCATACTGTAGCCCTAAATGGTCTCGATTTTTATATAGAATTAATAGTTGAAATGCCGATAACACACCGCCGTTCTGGTCTTGTCTTCACAGCGGGGCCTTCCCGGCCCGAGGGGTCCGCCCGGCCCGCCGGGTCCTGCCGGGGTCCCTGGGATCGATGGCATAGATGTAAGTGTGCGTCGCTGCATCCCAAAGGGACAAACAGCTAGTACGAGCTGTGTTCAGCCTTTAAGATGGCGCTTTACTATCGATTTCACAGTAAATCACTTTGATTGACCCTAGATAAAACAAAATACAATTATTGTGATTTTCTTTTATTATGTAAATGTTTGAATTAATGGTTACTGTTTATCTTTTAATTATTTCAGGGAGACAGAGGTCCCGATGGCCCAACTGGTCCTCCGGTACGTAAACAGTAATTCAAGCTAGAGCACGTGACGTATTTCTTTCGTTATTGTAAAATTTATTGATTAAATCCGGACATTTACAGGGTCCTGATGGGGATCCAGGTAAAAGCGGCTCGCCGGGATTGCCAGGAGAGCCCGGGGCTGATGTAAGTACTTCATTGTTATTATAATTCTTATTTAGACTGAGCGTAAAGATCCGTTTAATTTATTTAAATCTGACACATTGGAACAGTTTAAAACTGATGCGATTTGCAGTGTACCTGTATCGTACCGTCTTGCGTGCTGAAAATAACGGTACTATTAAGTGAACAGCGAACCAAAAATCCACTGAGGAATGTTTCAAGTTTGACATTTCGTAAAGACTACACGACTCTCCTGTTGAAACAGCGGCCTTATTGTTTGAGCTCGGAGGAACTGGGATTGCGGTCAATTACCTGTGTTTCCCAGCGGGAGTGGGAACTACAGAGGGGAAAGTAAGCTTCCCCGACCACTGCGAGCTGCGCCACGTCTGCTGCACAGGGCTCTCTGTGCCACAGGCGCCGCCGGGACCAGCTGGTTGAAGAAGGACTCCAGGGACGAGTGTACATCCCGAGAAGACTAACCGAGCGCCGGCCTTTGGATTTGTATAAGGGGCTGCAACAAAGTCACCTACACAATGCTGATCTCAGGACAAGAGGAAAGCTTATCATTTCAATATGTTTATTGCTTTTGTCTCATTATCTTAACATTTAAAATATGGACACAGATAACAGCTAAACAAACTGGTATCATATTAAGAAGAAGACACCAAATGCAAATACCAGACAAGGAAAAGGCTATTTCAGTCACGAGAGCTTGACCCCTTTTCATAACATGACAGCAAACAAAATATTGGTACAGTATATGAGAATGTAAGCATACCTATAAGAAAATTTAATTATTTGTCTGTTAAAGTTTTTGAGTTGTGTTGCCTTATAAAGAACCACGTAATGCAAAATAACAACAGTCAGAATTGCACTTGTTCCGGAGGAACAAACAGTGCATAGAAAGGTTTTCTTGTGAGTTATGTTATGAGACATTTCCCCAGCTTGGCCTGCAAATCTGTGTGTTTAACACTGTGTGACCTGGGCAAGGAAGAAAATCAAATGCTCCCTCCTCATTCACGTCATGATGTCCACAAACACAACAGACTGCAGTTCCTCTTTGCTGATCTCAGATGGGTTTGAATGCCTAGAGCTCTTCACATCAAAGCCAAGAATTAACCCACTGTATAGGGACTGGAACTGACAGGAAACCCAGTTAATGTACCTGTAAGGGGTTATTCGGGACTCAGTTCTGACACAGTTTGGATTTTGCTACAATACAGAAGTTGATAGCCCTACTCTTCCAAGATCTTCACACGGCCTGCAATGTCTGCAGTGTTTCTGGGAGCTCTGGCTCAGTGTGCTCCAACAGAAGGCACTGCCCACAGCTGCCTGATCCCTCCCACCGGCCATGTGCTTCTGCGGCATGCCATGCATGACTTAGACATGACTTTTTATGACATATTCAGTCCGCTAAGGTAGACCAAGGAACAGGTCTTGGAGGAACCAGACCTAACTTCCAGGTCTTTAGGAAAAGCGTGGAAACTGGATCTCTCGGTAAGCTCTACAGAGAAGGTGCCTCAGTCTAGATTCAAACCCAGGACCACAGAGGTTTGAGACAGCAGTACTCATCCTCATGCCACCTGTGCCACCCTGTGTCCTTGGCAGTGGTTTAGCATTCCTGGCTGTGAGAGAAGAGCCTCAGCTACTGCTTGAGTAGCACTGCTGGACCACATACCAGCACACTGCAGACAAAATAAGCACTGCAAACATTACTGCAAACATGTTACTAGAGACTAAACCACAATGAGCCAGACAGCACAAGGGCTAGATATTATGTCTCAGACAGATAACACCAGCCTTTGCAGGAAAAGTCTATCGGGACCTTCAGCAGTGCTTTGCTTCTAACTCCTGTTCTGACCAATGTCAGTCTAGTCAGGATGAGCATATGGTACCCAGTAGATGTTTTCTTAAAAAAGAAATGCAAGAGCTTTAGAAAGCTTAAGAAGAATTTAGAGTTGTACTCCTTGTTTATCTCCAAATAGTTTTGTTTGTGAAAGTTATTTTCATACAGTACATAAGTACTGTATATGGTGACATGAATAATAACACAAAAAGAGAATTTATTTAGTGTAAACATATGAAATTGGTTAATTTGGGATACTAACATATGAGACTAATATCTCAGTTCCATTTTATAATCTGGTTACACATATGATAATTTGATCATCAATACAGTTTTCCTACGAAAGGGTGAATATTTTTTTCATGGTTCATTTGAATTAATTCTACAGTGTGTATCCAACATGATATCTTTGTAGAGGTTACATAAGATCTAGCCTAAGATAGTGACGTTCATATCCCTTTTTGACAATTGTTCCAAAAGACAAAACATATAGCCAAGTATTCAGAATATTTGTTCACGTTCATATAGCTATGGTTAGGGCTAGGACACGGCTCAGGTTTGGAGATGAGTTTGGGATAGTTTAGGGTTTGAGATTTTTTAAATTAATGTGTTGGTTAAATCTTTTTGATCTGTGGTTAAGGATAATGAATGTTGTTATAATTTTTTATTTAGTCTCTAATAGCATAATGAGGTCTACAAAAGGCCTGGTTTAAAAGAAACATTGTTTGATTTCATGACATATTAGCAATAGGTATATTTTTATATTTATTAGTTTGATGGACTATGAAAAAGTAAATTGAGGACTATCTGCTTAGCCCTGTAGATAGATCCCATAAAGGCCCATGGGGAATGGGGGGGTCACCATTTTTCTCAACCATCCGACACTGGAGGTGGAAGTGATGTGGTCAGCATCACGCTCTGGCCGGCCTATTACCCCCGGAATTATTAACCCTGTACCGCCTATTTAATCATGTTAGCATAACTGAGGTTCTCATGGTTGTGCAATGACAACAATTAATAATAATAATAATTAATAATAATAATAATAATGTATCTGACCAGTTGAGAGTTCCCAACAAGTATTGTTTGTTACAGCTTTGCTTTAAGCAGGACTTTACAGTTGGCAATATATACAAAAGTTACATATAGTATTGTAATTGTGTATACATTTCTAAACACCTTACAGAATTGATGAATCTGGACTTTGCAAAATGCTGAAGACAGTGTGGACATTTTGTCTTGTACCATTATATTTGATTAACATGCAGCTTTGTCTTTCTCCCCTTGCAGGGATTAACTGGGCCTGATGGAGATGCAGGTCCACCTGGTACATCAGGTCAGAAAGTAAGTGATTGAGGTTGGAAATGAGGTAGTTTCTGCTTGAGAAACCCTCTGAGCTAACTGGCTAGCCCACTGCATTCCGTAGGGTGTTACAACTTCTAAAGCAATTCTTCGTGACAGTTCATTCTTAATTCTGCCTTTTCCTGTGTTCATTTGGGCAATCTTTTCATTTTTTATAAAGTTCCTCATGGGGAAAAAAAAGTCAATTCTGGGTGTTCTGGTATAAGCCTTACTTCAAGTGATTACCAGATTAGCATTTATAGAGACTTTGTGTTGTGTCTAAACACAACATTAAATATAAGCCATAATTGGTGTCAGATTATCAAATTTGATTCCTATTGCCCCGATTTGGACCAAAGGCACTACAAAAAATGTTCAATAAACATCTACCACACATAAGAATAATGAAATTCACCCTACCTGGTCTCTGTGAAAGGAATCATTAATAATATAATTTCCAGTTAGGATCTCATCTCATTATGTACCAGTATCTAACTACAGAACATCCTTCACTTTAATAAAAAGAAAAGCTCTCAAGGATTGGAATATTAGATTTAACAGTGTGTTGGCCTGGGATATGAAAGTAATGATCTCTTATGAGACAGGCCCTGTTACTGGACAGGATCAGAGGTCAGAATGAGCACTAAGAGATTTCTGCCATGTGTTTCAGGGTGAACCGGGAAAGGCTGGTCTCCGTGGAGCAGCAGTGAGTATCACCCTAGAATGGTTTAGATTTTTCACTCTGTTGTTTGGTTGTGCATGAAAGTATTCTCCTACAGTTTTTCTGTCTTCGTGATTGTTGTAACAAGGACGACAAAGTAAAAGTCTGAAGCTTCATAAACTGATAGGTCAAAATGTTATCAGTGGTTATCAGAAGTCACAGCCTACCTTATTATGAAAATATGACAGATACAAGCTACATCTCAGTGAGGTTCACCTAATTATTGACATCGGTCTAACCATCACAGAAAAGTGTTTCATATTAGAATTGTGTATGTCAGTAATCTGTTAATGATTAATGATTCTGATCAATTTGGAATACATACAGACATACCCAGATATGTCATGTTTCAGAAACCATATGAATGGTATGACTGGATATAAGAAACTAAGATATTATGATGTAAATTTACTTTATATTCAGAGGAGCGAATGTATAGAAATGTGTCCAAGCTTGGAAAAAACATGCCACTGCTTTGACTTGTATAGACTTACTGTAGTTAGGGTTTTGTTTGTAATTTACACATCAAATGTCCCTCATAAGCTTTGGTTATAATAAATGTGGGATAAAATGTGTGTTTTGTGTGAGCAGAGCACACAACCCTGCCCGAGAGTACTACACTAACTATGTCACTTTTTCTTAGGGTTCAGGCCCTGATGGACCACCTGTAAGTACTGTGTCATTAATACATTTGTGCTCTGTCATTCCATTTACCTATTAGTCATGTTAGAAATTTACAAAATATTTAGTTACGCAGTGCAAACTAGAGAGTATATATGTATTTTATAAACAGTGTGCTGTGCAAATTGATATTGTTACTGTATATAACATTGTGCATAATACTGAACTGTTCTGTAGGGCCCACCTGGTCCAGGAGGACTTCCAGGGGAACTAGGACGCGCTGGACCCATTGTGAGTATTTTTAGATTTGGGGTCATGTGCCAATCAATTCATGCCGTCTGTTGTTTTCACACTATTTTTAAGGTTTTACATCCTTAGACAATAATGTTTAGGCTGTAGAATTGCCATAGGAAGTGCATTTGACAATAGATTTATTTAGTTCTGTATTCCCTTTGTAAGAATCTTGTTTGGCATAAGAAATGTGTTATAGAGCGGCACTTCCACAGAAGTCCTCTTATATATGTACTGAGCAAAGAGATATACATATATACATATCTACAAAGTCTGTTATTTCAAAATCCTGTAGTACATTACTATGTTATCTCAGGAAGTTTGCATCAACGACAGGACAAAGACCTTAGACCACAAGTGGGAATTACTTTCAGGGAACAATTACTTTCAGGGTAGAAAAGAGGAGATATTTATTCAGACTGGATTGTAGGAGTCTGGAACCCAATCACTAGTACCATTGTTGAAGCAATCTCTGTTTGATCCTTCAAGGAAAGGCTTGATGGAATTTCTGGGTCGTTAGGCTAGCCAGATGAGCTCACTGACCTCTCAGTTGTAACCTTTTTATGTTCTTAAAATCATGTGTAATTAAAGAAATGAATTGTGTCAGTTCTAATTAACTACAGAGATCTTTTTGGTTCCTTGAAGCCTCTCCTTTAATATTGTAGCACTAATGTTGGTTATAAATCTATAATGTTATAATGTAAAAGTACAAATATGAATATAAAAATTCTGAAATAATATTCCTAACACTGAAATACAATCATAATGCTAAAAATGAATGATAGTTTAAGAGGAACTAAATGCATTTTAGAACTTCATGAAAACATCTACAGCATTAGTTATAAACAGTTTAAGATTATAGGAGCACTAGATATTTCTTTAGATAATAATAAGATAATTTTCCTGTGTGAGGTGTCCTGTAACTCATCTCTCTTCTTACACAGGGAGACATTGGAGTCAGAGGCCCCCCAGGACCCCCTGGCCCCCCAGGACCACGAGTGAGTGTCAGCTTTTCCATTTTTTGATCAGGTATTTATTTTGAGGAGGCTGTGTGGCTGAAGGATACAACAAACAATGTTCAGTCAGAACAGCTCATGTCAATATGTCATTTCAGGGTGTTGCTAGACTTAGGAATGTATCTGTACTGTCCAGTAAGGTTTGCAAAAGGAATGACCCAATAAATAAAAGAACAGGAGTGTGAAATCACTCAGAGTGAGGGCTTGAACCTGCAACCATGTTGGCTGCCAGTTCAGTACTAAGCTGTGCCTTAGGCTGACTACAGACATGACAACTAGAGGGTGTTGAAAAAGCACAACTGTTTTGACAAAACAATATCGGAAGTAGGTCTTCTTGTCTGTTCTGGGTTGGAAAGAGGGATCTGTATCTTTGAATAATAATATATTCAGTGAATAGTTAAAATGGAAAAGTAATTGACAATTACAAAGTAATTGTGGAGGCAGTGTACCATAGTGCTTAAGTCTCTGGTCTCATGATTGGACGACTATGGATTTAGGTATGTGCTGCAGATGCTGCTGTAATCCTTTGAGTGAGGTGCTTGACCCCAGTGACTCCATTTCACCCAGCTGTGTAGGTGGGGACCAGCATTTCTGGAGGATTATCCTTGTGATGGACTGGTGTCCCATCCAGGGGCTAGTTGTGTACTTTCTTCTCAATATGCCATATCACCCATATCACTCTGCAACTCACAACTGGCAGCCCACTGAAGCTAAGCAGGTGTGAGGCTGGTCAGTACCTGGATGGGAGACCTCCTGGGAAAAACTAAGGTTGCTGCTGGAAGAGGTGTTAGTGGGGCCAACAGGGGGCGCGCTCCCTGCTGCCTATGTGGGTCCTAATGCACCATTATAGTGACGGGGACACTATACTGTAAACAGGTGCCGTCCTTCAGATGAGACCCAAAACTGAGGTCATGACTCTCTGTGGTCATTAAAAAATCCCAGGGTGTTTCTCGAAAAGAGTAGGAGTGTAACCCCGGCGTCCTGACCAAATTTCCTATTGGCCCTTACCAATCATGGCTTCATAATAATCCCCATCTATGAATTGGCTTCATTACTCTGCTCTCCTCCCCACTGAGAGCTGGTGTGTGGTGAGCGTTCTGATGCACTATGGCTGCCGTCGCATCATCCAGGTGGGGCTGCACACTGGTGGTGGTGGAGGGGATCCCCATTACCTGTAAAGCGCTTTGAGTGGAGTGTCCAGAAAAGCGCTATATACGTGTAAGCAATTATTATTAATTATTCTCACTTAACGCCTTGGAAACCAGGACAACCCATGTGACTTGGGTATGAAAATTACCTACCCATTACAACGGCTCTTTATCAGTATGTTGTAGATATAAATTATGAAGCCAAATCAGTGCAATCATCCCAGTGTGACTATCTGTTCTTTTGTTGCAGGGTGCTCCTGGATTTCGTGAGAGCACTGGAGAGCTAGTAAGCAGTTTTCTCCATACCTGGATTTATGCTATACTTTATGCCACACTCACGCTATGCTACTATATTCATGCTATGAGCCTTATATGTGCCAGTTCATAAGTAATGTTGGTCTTTGTCCTGTTGTCCAGTGTCCCAATGCCTGCCCTCCTGGGCCATCTGGCCATCCTGGTCTTCCAGGTATGAAGGTGAGTTTGTGTCACTGGAAAACATAATCTCATGATTATACAGACGTTTCTCTGTCATTCCTCATTTGCTACTACTTCCAAGTGTCAACATAAATTCCTATGGTCCTTGTCAATCATTTTGAAATCCAACTCTGATTGACTCTTAGGTTGTTGCAAGAAAAAGATTCTAAGTTTATTAGACATCAGTTAATCATTTAATAAAGGTGACCAAACAACTTCCCACTTCTTCTTCTGTAGATCCTCAAAAGTCAGTAAATATACAAAAACACATTTTCATGTTCTTAACCTCAAGTTCATATTAGTTACTTAAACTGATTAAAATTATCATGAAAGTTGAAAAAGGTGCCTGTATCTATGCATTATTTCTCGCTTTTTTAGGGCCACAAAGGTGTAAAAGGAGAATCTGGTGAACCAGGAAAGCAGGGGCACAAGGTAAAATGTCAAGTGTTCAATTACCCTTAGTAATAAAAAAACTACTGTTCCATAAAGTAGAGATTATTTATTGACAACCATATAATTAGCTGCTTAAATGTACTTTAACAGGTGACAGAAAAGTGCAGTAAAATATTAAAGAGGTTTTGAAGGTCAGAAGAAAGTGCCTTGTTTAGGGCAGATGTTTGTGTTGTGCTTTGTTGTGTGTGTGTGGAACACTAAGAACCTATGCAAATGCACTCATTTCCATGTGATCAATGGCCTGTGATTTGAGCTCTACTGTTCATCCTCCTGCTCTTTAGGGAGAAGAGGGGGATCAAGGAGCCCCAGGGGAGATCGGAGCTCAAGGCCCACCAGTACAGTATTCTTATTCCGTCACTCTGTTTCTCCTAGAAGAACTTATCACTGTTTCACCTTTATACAACTAGTCATTATGTGATGTGATGTAAGTGCTTATTTCTTGGCAGGAAAGGCAAGATTAAATCATTTACTGTACAATAATTCAATAACAGGAAAGAGTATGTTAAAGAATATTTTTGAATGTCACCCATCTTCTTTACATTATAGCATTTCGTAGCAGAATTGCAGTGTCTTTTACTGAATTCGATCAGTTTCGGTGAATAATGGAGAAACTCAACCTGAAGCACATCTCTCCTGTCCCGTGATGCAGGGTCCCCAGGGTACTAGAGGAATCACCGGCATGATGGGGCCGAAGGGCGAGAGGGTAGGTCTGCTTCTTCTTTACTCCTGACTGACTTTATACAGTACCTCAATGCAAGAATCATAAGAAATAAAATGCAAGAACTCATGGCTACCATATTAATGGAAAATGATAACATCTGAAAGTTAGACTTGGGCAGATAACAGAAAGTACATAAAAGTAACAGTTACACATTCTTCTGAAAGACTGTCAGGGTAGGAGAGGAGTTGGGTTGGGACAGTGTGTGGAAAATACCTCGATATACAGAACCGAAGCAAGAGGATACATGTAGCTCAGAAATGACAACAGTTGCATTCTAAAGACCATATACTGTAGAAATGGACAAGTTATAATGAGATCAGAAAAGCATGTAGTAAAAGTGATAGTAGTTCAGGTGGGTAGCTGCGTCAGCATGCGTAGGCTGCAA